GAATCCCCAGTGAGGGGCTGGGGGCGTGGTCGGGGTGGAGCCCCGCCCAGAATCCCCAGTGAGGGCTGGGGGCGTGGTCAGGGTGGAGCCCCGCCTAGAATCCCCCAGTGAGGGCTGGGGGCGTGGTCAGGGTGGAGCCCCGCCTAGAATCCCCAGTGAGGGCTGGGGGCGTGGTCGGGGTCCAGTGTGGGAGGCTCTGGCCTTCATCATGGCCCTGAAGGTTCAAATAAAATAAAGAGGGAGAGAAAGAGGAAAGAGCGAGCAAGTTCCAGAAGGAGACAGAGGAGGGCTGGAGAGGAAGGATGGCCCAGCGACGCCTGTGCGCGTGCGGGTGCAGAGCCACAGCTGCAGCCTCAGCTCTTGGGAGACTGAGGCAGGGGAGTTTCTCTGACTTTAAGGCCGCTCTGCCCGCGTACATGAGACAGTATCTCAACACCTTTAAAACCGCCGGGTAAAGCGGACAGCCACAGCCTGCAGATGGGGACAAGATGCCCGCCGTGCGGCCTCACCCCTGCCCTGCTCCTCCGCCGAGCGTCCTCACCCCTGCCCTGCTCCTCCGCCGCGGCCTCGCCCCTGCCCTGCTCCTCCGCTGTGTGGCCTCGCCCCTGCCCTGCTCCTCCGCCCTGCGGCCTCGCCCCTGCCCTGCTCCTCGGCCGTGCGGCCTCACCCCTGCCCTGCTCCCCTGCTCCTCCGCCGAGCGGCCTCGCCCCTGCCCTGCTCCTCCGCCTTCCTCGCAGTTCCTCCCGTGCGGACCCCAGCCAGCGACACCATTCCCGTTACTTCATAACTGCGCTTCTCTAGGCGACCCTGTAAAGAAAGGGCCGGCGCACCCCCACGGGGGTCGTGACCTGCAGGTTGAGAAGCACTGGCCTGAGCCCGTGTCCCCTCCCTGGGTGCCCCGATAGCTGGCAAGGGGCTCGTGTTTCTGTCCACCCCCACTCGGCTGAGTTCCGTCCTCCGAAGGCCCCGTGTCTGGGCGCCTCGGGTGGGAACGCTGGGGGCTTCAGAAGTCCTGGGCCAGACCCTCCCCTCCCCACGGGTGCCACTCACGTCCTGCCGGGCCAGACCCCCCCACGGGTGCCACTCACGTCCTGCCGGGCTAGAACCCCCCACGGGAGCCACTCACGTCCTGCTCTAACTCCACGGACACCTCCACGTGCAGGGCAGCATTGGGTGGCGGTGGAGCACAGAGCGGACCGGCAGGGCCACGCCTGAAGGGGGCCATGGGGGCCGCGCCAGGGCCTCCCGGCCAGGCATGAAGGGGGCCATCGGGGCCACGCCAGGGTCCCCCCGCGTCTTGGAATCCGGGAAGCACCACAGCTAGGTTGCCCGACCTCTGAAGGCCTTCAGCTCGGGCCGACCGTGACCCCGGCAATGGCAGTGGCCTGCAGCGCCTCGGCCAGGGGCCCAGGGAAGCCCGAGCCGGGACCCCAGCGCCGGGCACTCCCGGTGGGGAGGAGGTGGCCCAGGGGCTCCCGTCGGCCTCCTGCGGGGAGCGGATCCTCCTTTCCCCGGCCTCCTTCGGTGTTGGGTGAGGCTGGGCCAAGACGGGACACCCGGCCTGGTGGGGAGGAGAAGGCCACTGTCTGGGAAAGGGGCAGCTGGGGACACGAGGCCCCTCCGACCTCCCCCAGGGCTGGGTCAGCTGGGTTCACCGAGGGGCCAGCAGTGCGCGTGGGGAGAGTGGGGCAGGTCACAGGGGTGGGGTCCCGCTAGGGGGTGCAGCGGGCTCACACAGCGCCCGCTCTCCTCAGACTGTGGCCTGGCGCCCCCGGGGGCGCTGACCCGGATCGTGGGTGGCAGCGCGGCCTCGCGTGGGGAGTGGCCCTGGCAGGTGAGCCTGTGGCTGCGGAGCCGAGAACACCGCTGCGGGGCCGTGCTGGTGGCCGAGAGGTGGCTGCTGTCCGCCGCGCACTGCTTCGACATGTGAGTCCCGCCCCGCTGGGGGTCCCCGCCTGCCCCTGACCACCTCTGCATTTGGCTCCAGTCCCCAGGCCACCGGACAAGGCACGGCCTCCCTGGCCCGGCGCCGGGCGTGGAGGGTGCAGTTCCTTATGGGGACCCCCAACATGCGCTCATGTGCCCGTGGGGCTCAGGGTGAAGGGGGCAGACGGTCCTGTGCTGGGTCTGAGGTGCTGGGGCTCCACTGCGGAGGACTGGTGTGCGTGCGTGTGTGCTTGTGTGTGCACGCACGTGTGTGCAGGTGTATACACAACAGCCCCGGTTCTCCTGGGTGACCTAGGGGGGTCAAGAGCCTTGTCTCCTCTCCCGAGGGTGTGGAGGGCAGGGGTGGGGACCATCCTCAGCTCTGGAAATGGTGCCAGCTGGCGGTGTCCCCTCAGAGGGGCACCAGCGCGGCTGGGTGAGCCCGAGTTGGGCAGGGGGACAGAGCAGCCCATTTCCACCGGACGGTGACTCTGCCCGTGCGCACCCCGCAGCTACGGGGACCCTATGCAGTGGGCAGCCTTCCTGGGCACCCCGTTCCTGAGCGGCGCCGAGGGCCAGCTGGAGCGGGTGGCACGCATCTACCGCCACCCGTTCTACAACCTCTACACGCTGGACTACGACGTGGCGCTGCTGGAGCTGGCGGGTCCCGTGCGCCGCAGCCGCCTGGTGCGACCCATCTGCCTGCCGGGGCCCGCGCGGCCCCCCGAAGGCGCGCGCTGCGTCATCACCGGCTGGGGCTCGCTGCGGGAGGGAGGTAGGCGGCGGCCGGGGGTGGGCGCGGAGCGGGGACGTAGGGGACACGCCCCAGCCACTCCCTCGCCCTCCCAGGCTCCATGGCCCGGCAGCTGCAGAAGGCGGCCGTGCGCGTCCTCAGCGAGCAGACGTGTCGCCGCTTCTACCCGGTGCAGATCAGCAGCCGCATGCTGTGCGCGGGCTTCCCGCAGGGCGGCGTGGACAGCTGCTCGGTGAGTGGGGGGCGCTCGGTGGCCCGGGCCGGCCTGAAGGCTTGGCTGTCATTTGGACGCAGGGTCTCACTGTACTCGGGGACCCCCGAGTCCCAGGAACCCTCCTGTCTCGGCCCCCTGAGCGCTGGTTTCTCACCTGGGATCTGGGGTTTAACTCAGGTCCCCAGGCTTGTGTGACAAGGGCCCCGGATTGAGCCCGCCCGGGAGCCTCCCCCACCCAGCCCACCACTGACCCGGGACATGCCGAGGCACAGCTGCTTAATCAAAGACAACACGCGGGGTTCCCACGTCCTCCCGGGGGGCCAGGCGGGGCACGGTTGCTCAAAGCTGGAGGTCTGAGGCAGGGTTACTGTGTTGGAGACGAGAGCACATGTACACACATGCACACAACTCCTTACAAAGTACACGGCGGTCACTGTGTCACACGCTATGCGCCACTGGCTGCGCGGACACCAGGACCCGAGCTCGGATCCCCGGGGGGCACACAAAGGCCCACGGTCACCGGCCACAAGCACCTGTCACCCCATTCTGTGAGACAGGATGATGGCTGGGAACCAATGGCCACCACCCACTTCCGGGGCCACAGAACCCCCACACCCCAGGCCCTCATGAGCACCACATGCACACTTATGTGCACGCGCGCGCACCCCGGGTCCTGGCAGAGGGTGCAGCCAGAGGCATTAAGAAAACACCCTAGCACTGAACCCATCCCGTCCTTGGCTCAAGTGAGGCCCCTTGGCAGTTCCTCACGTGGGGTCCTTCTGGGTCCCAAGGGCTGCGGGCCTGAGCGCACTTTCTCCTTCAGGGTGACGCAGGGGGACCCCTGGCCTGCAGGGAGCCATCCGGCCAGTGGGTGCTAACTGGGGTCACCAGTTGGGGCTATGGCTGCGGCAGGCCGCACTTCCCAGGCGTCTACACTCGCGTGGCCGCTGTGCTGGGATGGATAGGCCAGAACATCCTGGAGTGAGCACCGCGAGGCCGGCGACCCAGCCGGGAGGGGGTGGGATGGGAAGGCGCCGCGGCCGTGTACACTGTTCCAATAAACAGTTCCTGCCCCAGCTCTGCCTCAGGACCGTGTCTCAGCAACGGAGCCTTCTGACCCGGCCCGCTGGCGCCTTTTTTGTGTGAGACAGGGTCCTATGTACCCAAGGCTAACCTCAAACCTGACGCTCCTGTGCCCATCTGTCCGTCCGCCGCCCCCCCCCCCCGCCCCCGCCCCATGACAGGTGTGCACACTTAGTTTCCATGGAGCTGGGGTGACACCCGGGGCCTCCTGCATGACAGGTGAGCTCCACACAGAGCTATGGAGCCACGCTGCGTATCCCAGGCTAGTCCCCAGCCCGGATGATGGGCACCTGAGACCACTGTCCGTCATTCACAAGGCTGCTCCTTTCTATTTTCTTTTTGGTTTTTCGAGACAGGGTTTCTCTGTAGCTTTGCAGCCTGTCCTGGAACTCACTCTGTAGCCCAGGCTGGCCTCGAACTCACAGAGATCCGCCTGGCTCTGCCTCCTGAGGGCTGGGATTAAGGGTGTGGCCACTCCTTTGTTTCCCGTGGGGCGACACCGCCTTCCTGAGAGCCCGCAGGCCGCGGACACCGAGGGGAAGGGTACCGGGAGGCGGGGGCCCACCCTGGGGAGGAGACCCGAACGGCAGGACGTGTGACACGCCAGCTTCTCCGCCCCAGCAGCGATTTATTGGCCTGCGCTCAGGTCACAGCTCAGGTGGGGGCAGCCAGATCCCCGCGCTCCAACTGTCCTCGGTCTCCCCTGAGACTGAGCTGGGCACAGCCGCGGCGGGAGAGGCCGGGCCCCCCGAACCCCCAGCCTGTGGGGCCGCCGGGGGCGAGCTGCAAACAGTTCCGCCCGTGGGCAAGCGCCCGGTGTCCCCCGGCCCCGGTCACATGTTGGCTCGCTCCCGCTGCAGCCGCGAGTTGTAGGCGCGGGACACGGTGTTCCAGGCGTCCATGTAGCGGTCCATGCACATGGCGATGCATTTCTGCAGGGTGACGAGGGAGCGCCAGGCTGCGTTAGGGTCGCGCGAGCCCGGGCTCCCCCCTCCCCAGGGCCCACGACGCCGCATGCGCGGCAGCCCGTTTCCGCACTCCGGCGCACGCGCAGACGCCTCACGACGCTGCGGCGCCAGGGTGCGCACGCGCCGAGCCCTCCACTCCCTGCAGCTCGTGACCCCGCGCCCCTCGCCCCGCCGGGGTCCCCGGGGCGCCTCACCTGTTCCGAGTTATCCAAGGAGCCCCCGGGCTTCCCGATGCACTTCCGGAAGCACTTGTCCGTCATCCTCTGTGGACACACGCGGGGGCTCAGCGGGGACCCACCCGGGGGGACCCCGGCCCCGACCCCGGCGCGCCCCGCACCTGCAGCAGCTCCTGCGCGTTGGCCACGGCGATCTGCACCTTCACCTGCTCCATGATGGCCCCCGGGTCCAGCTTCCCGCCGCCCGCGCCGCCGAAGTCCGAGCCGAAGCCGCTCTCCATGGCTGCGCTCTCAACCGGGCCGCGGCCGCGCGCGCCGACCCGCAGGCGCCGGAAGCCGGCGCGCTGACGTCACCAGTCCGACAGGAAGCTGAGGCCCGGGTCACCATGGAAACGAATCAAACTACACCTCCCATGACTCCGAGCGCGCCCCGCCGGGTGCTCGCCCGCGGCGGTGTGTGAAGCCCCGTACTACAGTTCCCACGAGGCCTTGCGCGCCGTCCCTGGGTTGAACCCGGAGCTCCGTTCGTTGGGGGTGTCAACTCCCAGAGGGCCACGCACTTGTCCGCATGCGCACACTGACTTCTGACGCCCCGACAAGGGCTGGTTCAGGGTTACTTCGCTGCCGCGCATGCGCAGTGTCACCCAAGCCCCTGCATTACGGGAAAGCGTCACGGGCGCTGCAAGCTGTGGGGGTCAGAGGATCCACTCCGAGGCTGGGGTTAAAATCAAAGTGTTTATTTGAGTGTACAAAAGTTTCCAGTCGTAAAATGTATATTACAAATCATAGGAGGGAAAAAAAAAGGCGGAACACACGTTTGGCATGCATCTTAGAAAAGAAACCACCTTAAAGCTGAGCGATGTGCGCAGTGCAAGCTGCTCCCCAGCCGCAGCGCCACCCCAATAACCGCCTGTCCCGCCGGGGCCAGGACGGGGCCCCTGTGGGGCTGCGGGTTACTCCAGCCCCGTCCCCAATCACAAGGTGCCCGGTGCACCCGCCCCGTGGGCAAGGCTGGTGTGACTGCGGCCTGTCACGACCATCCAGAAGCCAATTAGAGACACAGTCCAGGACCCAACACCTGTCACTTAAAGAAAACGGAGGTATCGAGGAGCAGGAGGGGATGGATGGCGGGTTCTGGGGTCGGCGGCAGCAGTGGCCTCCTGTGGCCGCGAGCTCTTGCCTTGGGGAGACTGGGCCTGAACTACTCTTTCCACCGGGCTGTACCAGGAGTCAGCACCCCCAAGGCTCAGCAGAGGAAGCTGAAGGTCAGGTGACTTCCACCCCGGGCAGTCCTGGGCCTGAACCCCCAGAGGCGCAGCCCGGCAGTGAGCTGCATTACTGATGTAAAAAAATAAATATCCGTTAAAAAAATACTGTGTGTCTGTGTTGGGGGTGAAGGTGACAGGTGAGAGCCGGCTGGCACCCGGAGCGCGTGGAACCATGTTCCACCGCAGCAAGTTCAGGCCAAGCCGGCAGGGCAGAGGGGCCATGCTGGGTGTGGGACACGCGTGCGGACACACTCCTGCGAGCAGTCCCTGGCTGGGAACCCGCAGCCTTTGCTCCTGAAGGTAGGCGCCCACGGTCTGTCTGTCCCTCAGCCTACGGAGTGACGATCTTAGGAAAGGACTTGTCTTGGGTGTGGGCTGCCTCCTTCTTGGTCCTCGGCTTCAGAAGGGACTAGAATGTTCTAGAATCAGGGCCCAGAGCCGCCTCAGATGCCCTGAGGCTGGGGACAGTCACAGACCCTTCATTCAGGCTCAGGGCTGGAGTTCCTCCTCTGTGCTGCCAACCCCAGGAGTGGAGGGTCTGCCCTGTCTGAAGAGCCACCAAGTCCAGACAGGCTGGTGATGACCTCTGCAGCCCAGATTCTGAATTTGATTTGATTTAAAAAGCTTCAAAGAAAATTCAATGAGTGAATCACTGTAGTTTCACGCTAGGTCTGCCCTCAGCCAGCAGCCACGCTCCTTCCTGTCCCTCAGCCTGCAGGCCCCTGGCCCGGCCTCTCTATCACCAAGGGGACATAGGAAGAGGACGGTGGAGAGGGTGGAGCCGCAGGCAGAGGACCCACCCCAGGAAACCCAGCACAGCCCACCCACATTCTCACGGTCGCTTAACAGTCATCTAGAAATGTACCAAGGACTAGTTAGAGCTGACTAGAAAAAAATAATTTCAGGGCCTTGGGGACCTTGGTGACCATGGGGCAGGTTTCACATCAGCCGGCAACCCCTCGAGGTAGTCCTCGGGTCCCCCTGCAAGGAGTGAAGGATGCAGTTAGGCGGCCTGCTCCCAAGCCGGTAGACGGTCCCCGCAGCCCAGACTCGGGGCTGGAGCCCCTGTCTCCCCATCCAAAGCCCTGAGGAGAGGGTGTCCTGGCTGAAGGGTCAGACATGTGGCCACTGAGGCCTGTGGTGTCCCCACACTGTGGGTGGGCACAGTTGTCTGAGGCAGGACCGTGGCACTTGGACCCCGAGACCCCACTAGGTGTGACGTCCGTCTCCGCATGCTCTACCTGCTGGTGGAAGAGGTCCTCCTCGCCGAATTCCGCCTCCTCTTCCTCTTCCTCTCCGTTCTCGCTCACCTCAACGCTTGTCTGCTTCACGGCCTGCAAAGCCACCTCCTACATAACAAAGGTCAGCAGTGTGCTTGGCACCCCGGTGCTGGCGGCTGCTGTGAGGGCAAGGAGGGGACCCGACCACGCCCTGCTGTGTTCTCACCTCTCCATCTGCGTTGACCAGGACGGTGCGGGAACTCTCCCCCGAGCCCCAGCTGCTCTGGCTTTTCCACACCAGGGTGGATGGGGGGCTGTGGGCGACCCCTGCGCCAGCTGCCCACACCTGAGGACCCAAGACGGCCCTCGTGAGTCGCTTCAGGGCTGGGCCAGCCGAAGGCTGCCCACCAGGAGGCCCTTCAGTGGGCTTGTCCATGCAGGATGGCCCAGGACATGGAGGAAGAGACTCAGGTCCACAGTGGCCCAGAGCGCTCCGTGGAGAGCCACACTGGAATCCCAGCACCTCGGGGCTCAGTGCCTCACCCAGGACTGTGAACTGCCAGGCCTCAGACACAGGGCATCCCCTGGACCGTAAGGCACCCTGAGGGGTGGGGCGGCCACACAGCAGCTCGGCGGCCGCAGGGCTGGTCTCAGAGCATGCGGAACCCACACCCCCCCCCTGCGGGAGTCAGCGTTGGGAACCTCCCGGGCCCCGCTCGCTGGCACCTACCGTGACGGTCTGGCCGGCCCGCAAGACATACTTGGGCGTGAACTTGTAGGCAATGTCCTCACCCTCCAGGACCTGTCTCTTGATTCTCCAGTTCCCCAAAGACTGGTCCTGCACCCCAGACAGACATGCTCTTGACCCCCGGCCGTGGGGATGGGAGCACGGGTCCTCCACCCTGCCCCGGGCTCACCTTGTCCGAGGCGTTCTTGAGCCGCACGAACCTGCCCTCCAGGTCCACCTCGTCGATGCTCACGACACCCATGACCGTGGCCTGCTGGGCCAGGCGGGAGCCGCTGCCCAGGCTGGAGCCCTGGCCGCCGCCGCCGCCGCCGCGGGAGCCCTGGGTGTCCTCGGTCTCCAGCCGCCGGCGCTTGCCCCGGCCCCGCCCCACGGACATGCCGACCCCGCCGCTGCCACTGCTGCTGCTGCTCGAGGTGGCCCGAGAGATGGTGACGCGGGAGGACGGGCTGGGGGACAGCTTCAGCCTGCAGGGAGGGACGGGTGAGGGTGCCCGGGAGGCCTCAGGGGCCTGC